TGGTGTTGGTCCCCCCGGGGTGGTGTTGTTGGTCCCCCCCCCCCCCGGGGTGTTGTTGGTCCCCCCCCGGGGTGTTGTTGGTCCCCCCCCCGGGGGTGTTGTTGGTCCCCCCCCCGGGGTGGTGTTGTTGGTCCCCCCCGTGGGGATGTTGTTGTTCCCCCCGGGGGTGTTGTTAGTCCCCCCGGGGGTATTGTTGGTCCCCCCCGGGGTGTTGTTGGTCCCCCCCGGGGATGTTGTTGGTCCCCCCCCCGGGGTGTTGTTGGTCCCCCCCCGGGGGTGTTGTTGGTCCCCCCCCCGGGGGTGTTGTTGGTCCCCCCCGGGGGTGTTGTTGGTCCCCCCCGGGGGATGTTGTTGGGCCCCCCCCCCGGGGTGTTGTTGGTCCCCCCCGGGGGGTGTTGTTGGTCCCCCCCGGGGTGGTGTTGTTGGTCCCCCCCGGGGGGGTGTTGTTGGTCCCCCCCGGGTGGTGTTGTTGGTCCCCCCCGGGGGATGTTGTTGGTCCCCCCCCGGGGTGTTGTTGGTCCCCCGGGGTGTTGTTGGTCCCCCCCTGGGGTGTTGTTGGTGCCCCCGGGGTGGTGTTGTTGGTCCACCCGGGGTGTTGTTGGTCCCCCCCGGGGTGGTGGTGTTGGTCCCCCCCCCCGGGGTGGTGGTGTTGGTCCCCCCCGGGGGTGTTGTTGTTACAAACGCGACGTAATAGGCTAGAGGATGGTGTGTGCGCGCGCCCGGGTCCAATGGGCGCGTGTACGACCCAGTGTCCAGATGAGCAGGGTTCGACCCCCCAGCCAGAAGTGTTGCGTGTCTGCCAGAGGTGTACTAAGACGTCAGCAAGGGGCAGAGTAGCTCCTTGCGTGCCGTCTCTCGTAAATAATGGAGTATAATTAAGTGTCTTAATCACATGCAACCACTTAACGTTGTTCTCTCTCATGGCCCCCCTCCCCCCCTTCCCCTCCCCCCTTCACTAACCCCTTCCCCCTCCCCCTCCACTACCCCCCCCTCCCCTCCACTAACCCCTTCCCCCCACCAAGCTGTTCATTCCTCCCCCACCCACACCAAGCTGTTCATTCTCTCCCTCCCCCCCCCACCGAGCTGTTCATTCCTCCCCTCCCCCCACCGAGCTGTTCATTCCCCCCCCCCCCCACCGAGCTGTTCATTCCTCCTCCTCCCCCCCACCGAGCTGTTCATTCCCCCCCCCCCATCAAGCTGTTCATTCCTCCCCTCCCCCTTCCCCCCCCCCCCCCCGACACAATGCAACTCATATGTAATTAACATTTAAATAAGGGGAAAAGTCACGTCATTTCTGCCTTAATATGTGATGCAACTTTGACATTTTATTTGTTATAAATCTACAAGTTTTGTATTTTTTTCTAAAGATTATTTCATGTGAAATACACCTAATATATTTTTTTTACTTATAGTTTTAATTTAAAAGTTATATATATTAGAGAAATTTATATCAATTAGACTACTCAGCTAATTTTGCGCTAACAACCTGTCCTCCTACAACCTATCCTCCTACAGCCTGTCCTCATACAACCTGTCCTTATACAACCTGTCCTCCTACAGCCTGTCCTCCTACAGCCTGTCCTCCTACAGCCTGTCCTCCTACAACCTGTCCTCCAACAGCCTGTCCTCCTACAACCTGTCCTCCAACAAAGAGCGTCGCACTACACTCGTATGCGTTACTAAGGCCAAAAATGGTCGTACTTGAAACTGGAAGCGACTGGCGAAAGTGACGTACTGTCCCGTATTGCTTGGGTCATCTAGTAGGTTAGGAGAGAACACTTTAATTTGACTGGTTTCTGGACGTTGTGAAACCTTAGGAGGACGGACTGACTATTCAGCACGGACTACACATAATCTCATTTATCATCATCTCTGCTTCAAGATTAATTTTCCTAGTTCCATGTACATATTAGTCGGTCCATAGAACATTTTATGTGTTGCGTGGAAGGCTGCGAGTAGGAGCATTTTTTAGAAAATCAAGTTTTTAGTTTCGTTGGGAGAGAACCCTAATGACGATTCCTAAGATGGCGTCTACAGACGTCACTGCTTGGAGGGGATTGGCTCCTAAAGAGGCTAAGGTGAAGACGTTGAGATCCAGCGGGAATGTGATTGGTAAACCTCAAGCAGGTGCAACCAATCACCAGGTAGCCCATGGTGACACCATCTTCTTGATATCTTGAGGTTATCTTGAGATGATTTCGGGGCTTTTAGTGTCCCCGTGGCCCGGTCCTCGACCAGGCCCTCCACCCCCAGGAAGCAGCCCGTGACAGCTGACTAACACCCAGTTACCTATTTTTACTGTAATAAATAAAACTATTTTACCATCAGTGAGAGCTAGATTTCTAGCTTCTCATTGGGCCAGAAAGTGACAGTGTGTCCAGAGACTTGATGGAGGTCAAACGTACATCTTCGGCTCTAAAGATATTAGTTGAAATTGTCGATTAGTGAGGGAGGCAGACACTTCGTGGGGCTCTACGGACCAGGGGCCAGATTCACGAAAGCACTTACGCAAACACTTACGAACCTGTCCATCTTTTCTCAATCATTGGCGGCTCTGTTTACAATTATTAAACAGTAAATGAGCGCCCGAAGCACCAGGAGGCTGTTTATAACAATATCAACAGTTGATTGGCAAGTTTCCATGCTCGTAAACAATTTAATAAATGTAACCAAAGCCGTCAAAGATTGAGGAAATATGTACACGTTCGTAAGTGCTTGCGTAAGTGCTTTTGTGAATCTTGCCCTGGTATAGTCACAAGGAGTAGCCTGGATAACCTAGAAGGGATTACGTCGACATTTACTCTGCTAAGCTGCAAGTTGAAGCTACGGCAGTGTGAAAATCGTTAGTCTGAGACCACCAAACAGCGAACACCGTAAACAGGACGTATATGGGAGACCACCAAACAGCGAACCCACCGTAAACAGGACGTATATGGGGACCACCAAACAGCGAACACCGTAAACAGGACGTTATGGGAGACCACCAAACAGCGAACACCGTAAACAGGACGTATATGGGAGACCATTCTTCACTTTATATACGGTTGTATAGTGTTCATTTCTCGAGGACAATCCGAGCCCAATAGTCGTGGTGTTGCTGAGGCAAGGGAGTGCAGTGAAGTTGTTGCATGCACGAGCAACCCTGGCCTTAATTACTCAGTAAGACAGTGAGGGAGGTAGTAGAGCAGTGCGATAGCTTACTATTTACTACATCCCGGGAGACATTAGTGAGACCTACAAGAAGCTACGATATCTTTCGCCAGCGACACATCTCTTCCCCCCCCCCCTTCCCAACCTTTCCCCCCACAACCTACCCCGCCCCCCCCCCCAACCATTCCCATCCCCTACCACCCCCCCAACCTTTCCCCTCCACTACCACCCTCCAATCTCCCCCCCCGCCCTTCACCCACAACCTCTCCAGGCCACCCCCCCCCCCGCTCCCCCACGCTCTAGTTAGCAAGTTTGTGATAGTTTTTGTGGTTAACAAGAGAGTTAGGGTTAAGCTTACTCGTGTGTGGGATACTTCAACAGCCCCCCCCCTCTCTCTGCTCCCCCTCTCTCTCCCTCCCCCCCTCTCTCCTCCCCCCTCTCGCTTCCCCTCTCTGCTCCCCCTCTCACTGCTCCACCCTCTCACTTCCCCAAACCCTGCCTCTCCCTCTCTCACTTCCCCTCTCTCTGCTCCACTCCTCTCACTTCCCCAAACCCTGCCTCTCCCTCTCTCACTTCCCCTCTCTGCTCCACCCTCTCAACTCTCCCCTCTCACTTCCCCAAACCCTGCCTCTCCCTCCATCATTCACTCAAGAGGTGTGCTGGTCCCATATAGTTAAGCAGCCTTATGACACGTCTAGACAAAGTTCAAGTCTGCCTCACCATTTTCACCGACTCCTTCTTATATTATCTCAAACACAAATACGTTAAATCAATATAAAAATGTTTACTTATTTCGCTTACTTTTTTATTTATTTTATACATTACTTAAAATTTCGTAAAAATCTGTTTTCTATCAAATTTAACGAAGATTTGATATACGAAAATCAAAATGTTAAAAAAAAATCAACATTAAAAACAATTTTTTTTTAAATAACGAAAAATATCAAATTTTATAAAAAAAGATGTAGACAGCTCGTCTAATACTTCAAATTGATAAGAAACAGCTTGCAATTCAGCATCAAAGTGTTAACAAACAGCTCAATTATAAAGCTAAAATATTAAACTTTAAAACATATACATACATTAAATAAATATATAAAGAGAGAGAGAGAGAGAGAGAGAGAGAGAGAGAGAGAGAGAGAGAGAGAGAGAGAAAAGAGAGAGTAGGGTTGGTTTGGGAGGTAGGTGGAGCAGCTGTGGTTGTCATGTGAATGTATGCATGTATGTATGAATGTGTATATGTTTGTATGTGTATATTTGCATGTACGTGTGCGTGCACAGCAAGACGCCACCTGACCTTTGTGTCCCCTCGGGCAAATTGCACAATTTGATCGGCAATCACCCCTTACTCTCCCCCTCTCCGCTCTCTCCCCTTGCCTCCTCCCCTCTCCCTTCCCCCTTCCAACTGCCTCCTGCCCCTGAAATACGACCAGCATTGACCTTTCCCACACCTTTACTTAAGTCAGAAATACACCTGTATGTACACCAGGAGCCAGGAGGGGGAGAGGTGTCCTCTGTTAACACCAGAGGACTGTTACATTGTACACTGTACACTGTTAACAGTGTACAGTGTACTCTGTTAACACAACCTGTACAGTGTACTCTGTTATATAAATAACACTGAGCCAAGACCACATAGCAAGAGGCAATAGCAAAAATTGCTAATTTAAAAAGTAATAAATTGTATGTAATTCACAATAGGTGTTCGCGATCTGCTTTGGATAGTAACTGTCTCTGTCTGTCTGTCTATCAGTCTCGATAGACAGTCTCTACTACACCAGAGAGTTTGACTTCTTTTTACCGCATACTCCAAAAGGACTTCGAGAGAGTTAGAGAGGTGGCAGAAGACGGGCATGAAGACAGACTATGATTAAACAAAAGAAGACAGACTATGATTAAACAAAAGTCAACACTGTCTGCGGAATAATCATCCGCCAGGAAGACAGCGTTGACAGTCAGTAGTAAAGGACAGACAGACACAGACTGTCTACTCCCCTCGACGCTGCTCACAGCTCTGATGGTTTAAAAGGAACAAAAACTCCATTTGGTGGTTTTATTAAAGCATGTGTAGGCTTTACCAACCTTCAGATTACATTTAATATTTATTGAAGGAAGAGAAGATAGGTACCCAAAACCAGGAGATTGGTGGCTTTCCTTGCTCAAGTTGCACGCCCACCCGCTCAAGTTGCACGCCCACCCGCCCTCAGTTGCACGCCCACCCGCCCTCAGTTGCACGCCCACCACCCCCAGTTGCACGCCCACCAGCCCCAGTTGCACGCCCACCCGCCTCTGTTGCACGCCCACCAGCCCCAGTTGCACGCCCAACCGCCCCAGTTGCACGCCCACCCGCCCCCAGTTGCACGCCCACCAGCCCCCAGTTGCACGCCCACCAGCCCCAGTTGCACGCCCACCCGCCTCAGTTGCACGCCCACCAGCCCTCAGTTGCACGCCCACCAGCCCAGTTGCACGCCCACCCGCCTCAGTTGCACGCCCACCAGCCCCAGTTGCACGCCCACCCGCCTCAGTTGCACGCCCACCAGCCCTCAGTTGCACGCCCACCAGCCCTCAGTTGCACGCCCACGCGCTACAGTTGCACGTCCACCAGCCCCAGTTGCACGCCCACCAGCCCTCAGTTGCACGCCCACCCGCCCCAGTTGCACGCCCACCCGCCCCAGTTGCACGCCCACCCGCCCCAGTTGCACGCCCACCAGCCCCAGTTGCACGCCCACGCGCTACAGTTGCACGTCCACCAGCCCCAGTTGCACGCCCACCCGCCCTCAGTTGCACGCCCACCAGCCCTCAGTTGCACGCCCACCAGCCCTCAGTTGCACGCCCACCAGCCCCAGTTGCACGCCCACGCGCTACCGTTGCACGTCCACCAGCCCCAGTTGCACGCCCACCCGCCCTCAGTTGCACGCCCACCAGCCCTCAGTTGCACGCCCACCCGCCCTCAGTTGCACGCCCACCCGCCCTCAGTTGCACACCTACGCCCCCAGTTGCACGCCCACCAGCCCTCAGTTGCACGCCCACCCGCCCTCAGTTGCACGCCTACGCCCCCAGTTGCACGCCCACCCGCCCTCAGTTGCACGCCCACCAGCCCCAGTTGCACGCCCACCCGCCCTCAGTTGCACGCCCACCCGCCCTCAGTTGCACGCCCACCCGCCCTCAGTTGCACGCCCACCAGCCCTCAGTTGCACGCCCACCAGCCCTCAGTTGCACGCCCACCCGCCCTCAGTTGCACGCCCACCCGCCCTCAGTTGCACGCCCACCCGCCCTCAGTTGCACGCCTACGCCCCCAGTTGCACGCCCACCAGCCCTCAGTTGCACGCCCACCCGCCCTCAGTTGCACGCCTACGCCCCCAGTTGCACGCCCACCCGCCCTCAGTTGCACGCCCACCAGCCCAGTTGCACGCCCACCCGCCCTCAGTTGCACGCCCACCCGCCCTCAGTTGCACGCCCACCCGCCCTCAGTTGCACGCCCACCCGCCCTCAGTTGCACGCCCACCAGCCCTCAGTTGCACGCCCACCTGCCCTCAGTTGCACGCCCACCAGCCCTCAGTTGCACGCCCACCCGCCCTCAGTTGCACGCCCACCTGCCCTCAGTTGCACGCCCACCAGCCCTCAGTTGCACGCCCACCAGCCCTCAGTTGCACGCCCACCAGCCCTCAGTTGCACGCCCACCAGCCCTCAGTTGCACGCCCACCAGCCCTCAGTTGCACGCCCACCAGCCCTCAGTTGCACGCCCACCAGCCCTCAGTTGCACGCCCACCAGCCCTCAGTTGCACGCCCACCAGCCCCCAGTTGCACGCCCACCAGCCCCCAGTTGCACGCCCACCAGCCCCCAGTTGCACGCCCACCAGCCTCAGTTGCACGCCCACCCGCCCTCAGTTGCACGCCCACCAGCCCTCAGTTGCACGCCCACCAGCCCTCAGTTGCACGCCCACCAGCCCTCAGTTGCACGCCCACCAGCCCTCAGTTGCACGCCCACCAGCCCTCAGTTGCACGCCCACCCGCCCTCAGTTACACTATGAATAAAAAAACAGTTAAAATAATTTTTATTTCAGAAATAACTTTCAAACATTTTAAATACCTTTGTTCTTCATCCTTTATAATGTTCACATGAACAAGATGATCATTTATGTTCATCGGGGACTTACAAATGTGTAAGACCAACCCGTTCTCTCATCACGTCCCAATTTCTTACGCAATTTACCAAAGCGTCAAAATTGTGGAGGCTCTCTATATATATACATATATTTGGAGCAACGAAATATTTACGTTTTCTGAGCACTGGCCGCAATAGGTAAGTTGGATTCGAACTCTTTTTGGCTAGGATAGGAGCTGCGCGTTTGTGTTCACTTCTGTTTGGTTTTGTTGTTCGAATATCAGAACACACAGCCGTGTTCTGATACTCTTTACCGAACACCACAGTTACTGTGTAACCGTGGTGTTACACCACAGTTTACTGTGGTGTAACTGTGGTGTTACCGCCTCCCTCCTCTCTCTCTCTCTCTCCAAATCCCCCCTATCCATTTCTCATTCATCCTCTGGCCCTTCCTCCTCCTCCTCGTCTCCACCAATCTCCCCTAGTCCCAGTCCATCCCCTCCTCTTCCACTTCTCTGACCCCTACTCCCATCCCCTTACCTCTCCCCTCATGCCTCCACCCCATTTCCCCTCCGCCTCTCACTCCGTTATCGTACACATACATGATGGCAGTATAGGAGCCCCTAGCACCCATCAGTTCAGGGGATGTAAACACTTAATATTCAAAGGACACAGCTGTTCCCCCTATCCCCCCAGCCTAACCTCAAGACTCCCTTAACACTGTCCTTCCCGACAAGCCTTCCTTCCCTTATCTTCCTCTCTCCCTCCCTTATCCAAACCTCTTCTTCTCCCTCCCTTATCCTAAATCTCCCTATACCTCTCATAGCCTCTATATCCCCCCCATTTCTACCTATATTCTCAGTTTTTCCCCTACAATGGGGGTTTTTATGGGGGGGGGGGATGGAAGTGAAGATGGTGATGTACAAGCGACGAAATAAATCTGGAAATCTCCCAATGGAGTGTAAATGACAGTGGCGGACTGTCCGCCTTGCTGACTGTGTGTGTGTGTGTGTGTATGTATTAACCTAGTTGTGCTTGTGGGGGTTGAGCTCTGCTCTTTCGGCCCGCCTCTCAACTGTCAATCAATCAACTGTTCCTAACTACTAATTTTTTTCCCCACTCCACACACGCACACACACACACACACAGGAAGCTGCTTGTAACAGCTGTCTAACTCCCAGGTACCTATCAACTGCCATGTAACAGGTGCATCAGTGTGAAAGAAATTCTGCCCATTTTTGTTTCCGCCGGCGCCGGGAATCGAACCCCAGACCACAGGATTACGTATCTAGCGTGCTGTCCACTCAGCCACCAGTGTGTGTGTGTGTTTAGTAGCTAATCTTGGTCTCTCGTGTCAAGGAGCTTCGAGTGTGGTTAAGATTCTTCACATGTATCTCCACATATATGGATGTCCACAGATGTATGCTGTGTAGAATGTTACATATACAGTACATGAAACATATGTTAGAATGTAGCAATCAACATATGTAGAATGTTACATATGTTTGAATGTTCACACACTCAGATACTGTCTTCACGCATAGATGTAACAAAAAGGAGGCCTGGTCGAGGACCGGGCCGCGGGGACGCTAAGCCCCGAAAACATCTCAATAAGAAGCTTTTGTTGATGTTTTGGGGATGAAGGGTTCTGGTCTGTGTTACACCTTATAATTGTTTATTGTGGGTCAAGTTCCTTCGGGTTAGATCTAAGCTCTTGAGCTGCCAGCTGTGGTCGTGGGGCGTCTCAGCTTGGCGTCATCTTCCCAGCGGAGAGTCTTATATCTTCCTGATCGTCTTCCACACCTATCCTGGCTTGCTGTAGCAGTCTGATGTTTATTGGTTGTATGTTCAGGAATCCCTTCCTCCCACCTCAAAAAATTCTCCCCCCGCCCGAATCCCATTTCCCCCTCCCACCACCTAGCTACAAAGGCTCCCCTGCTCTTACACTTTACAACAGACCTCCCACGGGAGTTTAACCGCTGGATCGAGTAATTCGCACGTCCACGAACGCCTCTCGGGCGAGTCTCTGCTCACGAACGGAATCGTAATCCTCACTCAGTACCCAAGAAAATGTTTTCATAAGTAATTTCAAATGCAGGGGTGTAAAAAACGTGGGGGTGGGGGGGGGGAGCTGTGACATGTAGGGGTGGAGAGAGCTGTGACATGTAGGGGTGGAGAGAGCTGTGACATGTAGGGGTGGAGAGAGAGAGAGAGAGAGAGAGAGAGAGAGAGAGAGAGAGAGAGAGGAGAGAGAGAGAGAGAGAGAGAGAGAGAGAGAGAGAGAGAGAGAGAGAGAGAGGAGAGAGAGAGAGAGAGAGAGAGAGAGAGAGAGAGAGAGAGAGAGAGAGAGCTGTGACATGTAGGGGTGGAGAGAGAGAGCTGTGAGATGTAGGGGTGGAGAGAGAGAGCTGTGAGATGTAGGGGTGGAGAGAGAGAGCTGTGAGATGTAGGGGTGGAGAGAGCTGTGACATGTAGGGGTGGAGAGAGCTGTGAGATGTAGGGGTGGAGAGAGCTGTGACATGTAGGGGTGGAGAGAGCTGTGACATGTAGGGGTGGAGAGAGCTGTGACATGTAGGGGTGGAGAGAGCTGTGACATGTAGGGGTGGAGAGAGCTGTGACATGTAGGGGTGGAGAGAGAGAGAACTGTGAGATGTAGGGGTGGAGAGAGCTGTGACATGTAGGGGTGGAGAGAGAGAGAGAGCTGTGAGATGTAGGGGTGGAGAGAGAGCTGTGACATGTAGGGGTGGAGAGAGAGAGAACTGTGAGATGTAGGGGTGGAGAGAGAGAGCTGTGACATGTAGGGGTGGAGAGAGAGAGAACTGTGACATGTAGGGGTGGAGAGAGAGAGAACTGTGAGATGTAGGGGTGGAGAGAGAGAGCTGTGACATGTAGGGGTGGAGAGAGCTGTGACATGTAGGGGTGGAGAGAGAGAGAACTGTGAGATGTAGGGGTGGAGAGAGCAGGACAGTCGTAGCAGATAACAACATTCACAAAGAGCATTAGACTCCACTTCGACAGGAAAAAATCTTGCAATAAAATTAGAACCCAAATTCAGTTGGTGATCGCTGTTAACCATGGCGGGTGATGATTGTGGACCAGGAAAATTTAGCGGGACAGCCAATCAGCACCAGGAATCAAGGAAGGAAAGATCTAATCAAGCCAAATGGCCAATCAGAGTCGAGCTAGCGGGCTGGAGAGCCAATCAGCTACCAGAGATATATATGGAGGGCCAATGAGTATAAAGAATCAACTAATGAGATTCCCAAGGAACTCCTTCCGGTGCATACCAAGTATTAACACAAGACAACCAGGCAGGATGGATGACACACCTGTCTGGAGGGTGGTGGATGACACACACCTGGCTGGAGGGTGGTGGATGACACACACCTGTCTGGAGGGTGGTGGATGACACACACCTGTCTGGAGGGTGGTGGATGACACACACCTGTCTGGAGGGTGGTGGATGACACACACCTGGCTGGAGGGTGGTGGATGACACACACCTGGCTGGAGGGTGCTGGATGACACACACCTGGCTGGAGGGTGCTGGATGACACACACCTGGCTGGAGGGTGCTGGATGACACACACCTGGCTGGAGGGTGCTGGATGACACACACCTGGCTGGAGGGAGGTGGATGACACACACCTAGCAGGATGATGGTGGATGACACACCTACCAGAAGGGTGGCGGATGCTCCCTTAATCACGTCTAACACAACATACCTGGCAAAAGAGAAAGAAAAAAATATTAGTCAAAAGATTCGCCGGAAAACGGCCGAAGGAATCCACCTTGGCCGATACGCCCTTAGAGAGGTACCTCTCTACGACACCTAAATCCCCTCACCAACCCAAACCCACTGACCGTCTTAGCTACACTACCCCCGACGTCGCCTCGCCCCCTCCTGCACCTGGAGGGTGGCGTGACCCGTAACTACTTGTTCCGGCAGCTACACGGTAAGCCCTCCGTAAGCTGGGGGAATGAAAGTCACACAACGAACAATTTATATTATAACGGTGTATAATACACAATATGTACATAGTACGGGTATATATATGGGCCCCGGGGTTGATGTGGGGTTGACGATTGACTGCTGGGAGGAAACCACAACCCGTGCTCAGAAGACGGATGTGAAGTGATATCAGGAAGTCTGAAGTCTGCACCTCACTGGATACCTCCAGCATCACACTGACTTCTGTACGTCATCAACGCACTGACATCATGAACGCACAAACGTCATTAACGCACAGGCATCATCAACGCACAAACAATTTGAACGCAAAGACGCCACGAACGCACGAACGTCTTGAATTCTCAAACGAAAGCAGCCACCACAGACTGCATGAACGCAAGGCTGCAATAAACGTATGGGATCACGAACATAACAAACAACAGGATTTCAATTCTAAGTACAAATAAGGAGATGGTAGTTCAATCAAGTACAAGTACTTGATAGAAATACCTGGCAAAGCCGCGCGGTACAGCGGGTAATTAGCCACAGTTTCGGAGACCTCGTGCCTTTCATCGCGCGAGGGTGTGTAGGCCTACGATGACGTGGTAGGCCTGCCCTGGCTCCAGACTGCCCAGAGGGAGTAGCAGAAGAGGAAATATGAGGAGGTGAAGGAGATGTAGGAGGAAGAGGAGGAAGAGCAGGAGGAGCACAAGAACAGTAGCAGTAGTGACGAGAGGACAAGGTGGGGGGGGGGGTGGTCGTGGAGCAGTTTGCGAGAAGCGGAACTTTAGGCGGAAGAGGATCGAGGGGGGCGGAGGAAGAGGAGGCGGCGGCGGCTGTCGCGGGGGGGGGGGGGGGGGTGGCGGCAGAGTAGAGGTAGAGCATGTGAGGGAGGAGGGAGGAAGCGCTCTAGTGAGAGCCGCAGCAACACAGCAACATTCAATACTCTCCACCAATACACATTAGTTAGGACG